GTTGATTTGCTTCATGTTTTGACTATTGCTAGAGCCAGCTGCAAAGCTGGTGAGAGAGACGTCTTGGTTGACGTTTCTGTGTAGTATGGGGCTAGCCCAACCGAAGTGATAAAAATGTATAGGCCTGGTGGACTCGGGGTCTTTCATCTTACATCTGCCTGCGTGCAGTTTGGAGGTGCAAGATATCTGAGTGTGTAATGTTAATTTTACCTGTGATCCTTTGAATAAATCAGCACTGTTTTGAAGTTACTTGGACTGCCTCATCTCTCAGAGTTAGCATGATAACAAGAACTGACCCTACAGCCTCTTCCTTGCTTTGGTGAAGGTCTACTTAGGCTATCCACAAGCCCTAAGGAGTTCTGGATGTGTAATTTCTCCTTCTTGACCCCTTCTGCAGGTGTGGGCACTTCCTCTGCCCTGTGATTTAGAGTTCTGATGACTCCCAGTTTGTGTTGGGTGGTGTGAGTCAAAAAGCAGTACTGGTCTGTGTGTGTAGGTTTTCAATATACTTCTACCTTCAGGCTTCTGTCCCCTCCCAAGTGGACTGTATAATCCAGAAAGGCCAGACAGTCATCTCTGCTGCACACACAGCACCACATAATAAACTCCCAGGACTTCGCAAGGAAGGTCCAAGAACTGCAGGTGGACCAGGACGAGACCATGGGAGGGACCATGGGACCAGGGGAGGATTCAAAGACAGGTAACGACTCTCACCAATACTGGGCTATAACGACTCAGTCGTTAAGGTACATTGTTGGCCTTCAAAGGATTGAAACACCACCAAGGGGGACAAATATCTCCGGCTCAACACCAGTCAGTCAGAACCGATGAAGCCTCTTGGATGAGAGGTGAAACGTCTTCGACCTAGAAATCTAGTCTATTTGATTTTTTCTAGGTTTTTCAGCTCAGCCTACTTATTTGAGCGCTCAGTTTGTTTGGTTTGTAACTGAACACAGATGTCATTATAGGTGAAATGTTTTAGATGCTGGAACTAATAAAGTACTTTAGAGGGTTTTCAGTTTTGAAAACAGCAAGGCTAACTGCTTCCCACTGCCGATACTGTACTTCAGACTGTTAGGTATTTTCTTAGTTAGGTAGATATTTAGAAATTTGTTGTCTAGAAATGTGTAGGGTAGACAGGATGTCTAGCTCAGGCTGTTAAATGCTTAGTTCATTGTCATGAGCTTGCTGCAGGCTGCATGTGGGCCCCAAGGTCAACTAGATTGAAGAGTCTGCAGGCAGGATGAATATTGCTAGTAGCATGATATGTTCAGCCGTAATCTTAATCATAATATCTTCCGAGGCTTACTGTTCGGACATGTCCCTGAATGTCCTGTATGTTTTTAAGATGCACACCACTAATCAACAGCCACACACTTGAATTTTCTCCATGTTTTGA